TTACCTTAAATAAATATATATATATATTTTTTTTTTTATTAGAAAAATATATATATATATATATATATATATATACGCTTCACCAAAACATTTATAATATGACTAAAAAGAATAATAATAACTATCGACTTAAAGTTACAACTGCATGCCAAAATTGTCAAAGACGAAAGATTAAGTGTTCTGGTGAAACTCCTTGTAAATATTGTAGTAAAGTTGACAAAAAATGTGAACCTGGTAAACCAGGTAAAAAAAGAGGTCCACCACCTGGACAAGAAGTAATAAGAAGTCGAACTAGTCGTATGGAATCTGTATATAATAATAAAGACCCTCAAATACAAGAAGAATTAAGGCACCTTAATGGTTATGAGAGAAATTCTGCTTTTACTCCCATTATGCCTAATATGCCTAGATATCCTTATTCAAATATTTACCATATGAATTCTTCTGGTTATTTATCATATCCTCATAATGTTGGTTACATTTATCCTCCCCCTATTATTTCAACTGTCTCTTCTCCTTCTGATACTAGAAGTTTACCTAATACTCAATTTACTTCCACTTCCGCTCATCATTCTAGTACCGGTTTTTCTTCTGGTTTAGAACAATCAAAAAGTTCTGAAAGTTCCAAATTAATGGGTCCTGAACATTTAAAGAATAGAAAATCTGAAGATTTAGAATTAGAACTTGCTAAATTTATGGTTAGTTTAAGAGGAAATGATGGTGATTCAAGAGATGATTCATGTAGCGATTTTAAAGATAATGTAGAAATTAACGATGATGATATAGAAATTAACGATGATGATGATGATGATGAAATTAACGATGATGATGATGTAGAAACTAACGATGATGATGATGATGTAGAAACTAACGATGATGATATAGATACTAACGATGATTTAGAAACTAACGATGATATAGAAATTAATGATGATGATGTTGAAATTAACGATGATGTTGAAATTAACGATGATGTCGAAATTAACGATGATGCAGAAATTAACGATGATATCGAAGTTAATGATGACGTCGAAATTAATGATGATGTCGAAGTTAATGATGATATCGAAATAAATGATGATGTCGAAGTTAATGATGATATTGAAGTTAATGATGATGTCGAAGGTAATGTCGAAGTTAATGATGAAGTCGAAGCTAATGATGATGTCGAACTTAATGATGAAGTTAACGATGATGTCGAAGCTAACGATGATGTCGAAGCTAACGATGATGTCGAAGCTAACGATGATGTCGAAGCTAATGGTGATGTTGAAGCTAACGGTGATGCCGAAATTAACGAAGTTGCCGAAGTTAACGATGATGCCAATATTAACGATGATGTCAATGTTAGTGATACCGTCGATGCTAGTGATGCCACCAATGATAAAGATGTCACCAATGATAAGGATGCTGCCAATGATAAGGATGCTGCCAATGATAAGGATGCTGCCAATGATAAGGATGCTACCAATGATAAGGATGCCGCCAATGATAAGGATGCTGCCAATGATAAGGATGCAGACAATGCTGCCAATGTTAATGATACTGCAAATGTTAATGGTGCAGCCAATGCTGCCAATGTTAATGATACTGCCAATGTTAATGGTGCAGCCAATGCAGCCAATGTTAATGATACTGCAAGTGTTAATGGTGCAGCCAATGTCGCCAATGTTGTCAATGTTGCCAGTTTTAGTAAGCCCGCCAATGTTAGTAATGCTGCCGGCTATAATAATGGTTATAATGCAAACGGCATTAGTTACAATATTTTTGCCGATATTCATAAGTATAGCAATTATAACGAGAACAATGTTACCAGTATTAGCAAAATTAGCAATGTTAGCAATATTATCAACGTTGTCAGATTTGTCGGGAACCGTCCAAAACGTCAATCTAATAAAAAGCAAACCAATAGACCTGTAATTCTTAAGCACAGATCGCAATTTAGACATATACTTCCAAATTCATTTGTTAGTGATAAAGATAAAAAAGTTAAAGAACCACAACCACAATTACCATATCCACAACTACAACAACCACCATCACCACAACAACTACCATCACCACTACCACCACCATCACCACCACATCAACAGCAGCAGCAGCAACAACAACAACAACAGCAACAACAGCAACAGCAGCAACAGCAGCAACAACAACAACAACAACAACAACAAGGTAAGAAATTTTAAGTGCATGTGTGTTTCGTTTAAGAAAGCCATTTTATAGAAAGATGTCTTTAATATATTTACCTTTTTTAGGAAATGAACATCAGAAATCGGATTATTCTCCAATTATTCCAGGTACTTTAGGTATTAGCTTGCCAACAATAAAGGAGTTGGGCGTGTTTGGTGAAAATCCTCCATTATATCGGCCTATTCCGATATATCCAATCCATATGAAGGCAAGACAAACAGAGTTTAAGCGTCGACTTCAGGCAAGGGATAATGCTCGCCCGTATAATGCAGCAAGTGAGCGTAACTTGGCAAAAATACCGAAAATGCCACGACCAATCGGTAATTCAACATTGGTTACAAATACTTCATCATTAACTACTACTTCATCAATTGCTTCATCACCAAATATTTCATTAACTGCTCCATCAACTGTTATATCAAAAACTGCAACTACTATCTCATCATCATCAATTACCACTTCATCAGCTATTAATACTGTTCCATCAATTATTATTCCATCAGATGTTTCATCAAATAATCCACCAACGACTACTCCATCAACATCTACAAATGTTCAAACTCCATCAACAACCACAAATGTTCAGACTCCATCAACAACCACAAATGTTCAGACTCCATCAACAACCACAAATGTTCAGACTCCATCAACAACCACAAATGTTCAGACTCCATCAACATCCACAAATGTTCAGACTCCATCAACATCCACAAATGTTCAGACTCCATCAACAGCTACAAATGTTCAGACTCCACCAACATCTACAAATGTTCAAACTCCATCAACATCTACAAATGTTCAGACTTCATCAACCTCTACAAATGTTCAGACTCCATCAACATCCACAAATGTTCAGACTCCATCAACATCTACAAATGTTCAATCAATCGTTCCATCACCTTCAGCAAAATCATCATCGTCTTCGTCTTCAAATGAGAAATCAGCTACACAATCATTGAATTCATCATCACCTGCTTCAAATGTAATGTCAGAATCTTCTAATTTAGTAAATGTAGCATCACCTAAACAACCATTGGAATCATCATCTTCTACTAAAGATGGAACATCAGCTACACCATCAATAGAATCGTCGAATGCAACATCGGCTACACGATCATTGGAATCATCGCCTTCTGTTAATAATGTGACATCAGCTACACCATCAATAGAATCGTCGAATGCGACATCAGCTACACAATCACTGGAATCATCGTCTACTTCTAAAGATGCAACATCAGATACACAATCATTGGAATCAACTTCTTCATCTTCAAAAAACACAACAGATACACAATCATCGTCTTCTACAGGTGCAACATCAGCTACGCAATCGTCAGAATCATCATCGTCTACTAAAGATAAAACATTAACTACACAATCATCTGAATCATCTGCTGCTAAAGTTGTAGCATCAGCTACACGATCAAAGTCTTCTATCAAAGATGCAAGATCAACTTCTTCATCTTCATCAGGAAGAGCTTACGCATGGAACATTCCGACTCGAATTATAATTCGGTCGAATACAATTCCTATTCAGCCAAAAAGTCCAGTAATGATTAGGCCGAACATTCAACAGACAAGTCCACAAGGTCAAATGTATAATCCTATTCAGCAGGTGGGCCCAATGATTCAGACAGGTCGGATGACAAATCAAATGTATCATATTCAGCAAACAAATCAAATGTATCCTATTCAGCGGCCTGGCCAAATGTATCCTATTCAGCAGGCGGGTTCAATGTATCCTATTCAGCAGGCGGGTTCAATGTATCCTATTCAGCAGGCGGGTTCAATGTATCCTATTCAGCAGGCGGGCTCAATGTATCCTATTCAACAGACAGGTCCAATGATTCCCATTCAGCCGACAAGTCGAATGTTTTCCACTCAGCAGACAAATCAAATGTTTCCCACTCAGCAAACAAATCAAACGTATCCTATTCAACAGAACAGCCAAATGTTTCCCATTCAATCGACAAATACAATGTTCTCCAATAAGCCGACGGGTTCAATGAATTCCATTCAGTCGACAGGTCCGACGATTCCTATGCAGTCAACGATTCCTAACCGGTCAACGATTCCTAACCGGTCAACAATTCCTAACCGGTCAACGATTCCTAACCAGTCAACGATTCCTAACCAGTCAACAATTCCTAACAAGTCAACGATTCCTAACCGGTCAACGATTCCTAACCAGTCAACGATTCCTATGCAGTCAACGACTCCTAATCAGTCAACGATTCCAATGACACCTTTAGTCACTACAGCGACACGAAGAAACAATATAGTGTTACCACCACCAGAACCAACGACTTCATATCCTGATTATTCAAAGCCTGCGAGAGCTCCACCAAGAAAGTGGTTTGCGCCACCTGTCTTACCATTTCGACCTACGTTCAGTGCACCATTGGATGAACCCATGCATACTACAAATTCGGAGAAACAAATGAATTCGGATATTAACAATCAATCAAAGAACCCTGATGCAGATAATGTAGCCGTCAATCCTGATAACAATAATACTGTGAGTCCTGAAAATTCAGTGAGAACAAACCAGCAAGAAGATTTGAGTGAAAATCCCACCAGCGAAATGATTATAACAAAAGAGAAAAATACTACATCTGTAACTATAGAAGAACCTCAAGATGAACAAGCAAAAGAGCAATCGCAAAGTTCATCATCGAGCGATTCTTCCTCTTCTTCCTCGTCTGAGGAGGAAGAAATATCCTCATCATTGGCAAGAACAAAAGCTAAAAGGAAAGAAATTTCATCTGCAACGACATCGACATCATCATCTGAGTCAGAAACCATTCAAATAACAGTTAAAAAAAATAAAAGCAAGAAGGAAGTTACTATTTCTAAGGACGCAATCAACAAGAAAAGATCCCGAGAACGTCAACGAGAAAGAGAAGCGGCTATAGCCGCATCTTCACGGAAGAAATTTAGAAAGGAAAGTCGTAAAAGGTCACCCAGTAGTAGTAGTAGTAGTTCTTCAGATGAGGATTCGATCGCTCCTCGAAGATCTCGTCCAATTAATGATAGGAGACGCTATCCAAAGCCTCCAACGAAACGAATCACCCGTAATGCTGCTCGTGAAGCAGCAAATGCGCCTGCTAAAGATCCTAAAGAGAAGAAAAAGTGGGTGAGACGTAGATAAGCTTGAAATTGTTAATTGGTAAAAATTATGTATATAGTTAGTTTAGAAGTGATGCGATGCCTGATGGTTGCACAAATTTTATATGTAAAATAAGATTTAAATATTATATAATTAATTTCTATGTTAAAACATAAAACATTAATTTTTTTTTATAAAAAAAAATTTTTTAGTTATAGTTAAAAAGCGAGTTTGTTTGGTGGATTTAGTATCGAATAATGTATAAATTAATAAAATAATTTAAAATTATTATTATATACATGTATGTATTTTTTTATAATAAATATATGAAATAAAGTTTATATCATAAAAAAAAAAGGTTTAGATTGATTTCCCAAATGTAAATAGTTAAATCATGTGATTCGATCATTTCTTTTAGGTATAACATATTAAGTTTCAACATTTTGGATAATTGTCAACGAGGTTACACGGATAATTCGAGATAAAACTTTTTTTTGGTTGAAATTTTTAAATAATTTGTTTAAATTCATGGATCAAAATAAACCCTTTACGAGTAGTAATAATAATCATATAGCTTTAATATTTAAACTTTCGATACTTTCGCGATTTTTAGCATGGATAATAGCATTAATATCAACGTTTATAGTAGATGATTATGATTCATCGGTAGATACCATATTAATAAGTCATGAAGATTCAACTTTAATACAAAAAATATTCAATATTTGTTTCAGAGTATTTTTGAGATGGGATGCTTTTTACTTTACGCATATAAGTGAAGAAGGGTATGTCTATGAACAAGAACACGCCTTTTTCCCGTTGTTACCATTATTAGCTAGAGGTTTAAGTAATTCAGGTAAATAAATTCTTGTTTTTTGCAATAGATTTTTCAAAGAACGAAACCAAGTATAACTTTATATATTGTTGTTCTAGTATTCTTACCATTAGGATATTTTTTAACGTATAGACAGATTTTACTCTTATCAGGAGTTTTAATAGCCAATGTTTCTTTTATATTAGCATCAATTAATTTATATAAGTATATATATATATTTAATATTGTATATAAATATAATTTATCTGCTTCATCAATTCCTTTATTTACATTACTTTTTTTTTTACACAGATTGACTCTTTTAATATTTAACAATAAAGAAAAATATGAAAAATATGCATTGGTGACATCAATATTTTACATATTAACACCATCTTGCATGTTTATGTCAACGATGTATACTGAAAGTTTATTTGCATTTTTAAGTTTTTTTGGTATGCGATTATTTTATGAAGGAAACATTTGGATTGCTGCATTTATCTGGAGTTTATCTTCGTTTACTAGATCAAATGGAATCGTATATATTGGATTTTATATATATGAATTTTTAATTAAAGATATAAATAGGATTAATGTAATGGTAAGTAAAGAATCAATTATTAGATGAATAACACAAATTTTTTACATTATTTATATATTTTTCACTTATTTATTTTAGAAAATATTTGTAAGATTGATAAAAACCACAATATTGAGTTTAATCGTTCTTTTTGGATTTTTAACATTTCAAAGTTATGGATATTATGAATATTGTATTTTAAATGAACCAAGATCATGGTGTAATAATAAAATACCAGTATTATATTCATTCGTTCAAATATTTTATTGGTAAGGGAGATATTAATATTAAATTATTTTTATTAGATTCAATTTTTTTTTTTATAACATATCTCAATTAAAATTTTTTGTAGGAATGCTGGATTTTTAACATATTATGAAATTAAACAAATTCCAAATTTTTTATTAGCCACTCCAATGATATTATTATCATTTTATGGAATATATGATTATTCTAAAATTGATTTCAAAAGAATATTTACTCTTGGATTACAACAAAAACAGCAACAATTAGAGATCAAAACACCATATTATACACATAATTTATTACCTTTTATTTATTTATGGGCCGTTTTATTATTATATTCAATTACATCAATACATATTCAAGTTATTACAAGATTTTTTTCTTCACAACCCACAGTTTATTGGTTCGTTGCACATTTATTTATGAGATCGATATCCAAAGAAGCTAGCAAATTAGACAAAATATTAGGATATGGTATGATGGTTTATTTTGTTTTATATGGTGGAAGTGGAATTATCCTTTTTGCTAATTTCTTTCCACCAGCATAATCGAATGATGAGAAGGTGAGGTGAACAAATTTTATAGAAAAATTTTCATTTATTTATTTGTTATTTTTTTTTTTTTGAATATAATGTATTTGTTGAGAAATAAAAAAAGAAAATGCAAAATAGTAATAATAATAATAATAATAATAAGTTATCTATATACACAAATTATTATTGATTCTTTTCTTTTTGATAAATGAAAATTTTAGTTTCACTATTAATAAGATGCTGAGATTTCCAAATATCAAACATATTAATAAAAGTTTTAAAGATTGGTTCTTTTGATTCACGTTTAAATTGAGGATATATTTGTTGAAAATAAGTAGTAGCATCTTTAAGATAATAATGAGGTATAGCAGGGAATAAATGATGAATTTGATGAGTACCAATAGAATGAGTTACATCATGTAAAATACCATAATCACGATCTACTGAAGAAAGATTACCAACAACATAATTCCATTGGTCATCAGAAAACCAAGGTAATTTTAAATCATTTTCAACACCATGATGATGAAGAAAAGTAGTTATAACTAACCAACTACCAAATATGACCCAAGGAAGAAAATAATATCTTAAAATTGTAAATGAACCAAAAATATTTGATAAATAAATTAAAAATGATAAAGCAAAAAAAACCGAAGAAATAGAAATTATAGCACCCAAACGATTTTTAAGAAATAAAGGATTAAAAGGATTTATATGAGAAACAGCTCTTGGACCATAACCTTCAATTAAATAAACTAACCAACCAATACCGAAACCAAAATAAGGTATAATTTTAGAATCTTCACCATTTAACATTTTATCAGCTTCACATTTTCTAACAGGATGATATACTTCATCTTTATCAATATTACCAGTATTTTTGTGATGATGACGATGACTTAATTTCCATGTAGTATAAGGTACAAGAATAAAGGTATGTAATAAAGTACCAATTATATCATTTAATAAAGGATACCGACTAAAACTACCATGACCACAATCATGACCTAATACAAATATAGCCCAAAACATTGTACCTTGAGCAAAAGTATATAATGGTAAAAATATCAAATTTTTTATAATCACAGGAATAAATTTAATTGAATTTAATTCATAATATGTTAGGAATAATATTGATACAATCATTAAATCCCATAAAACATATTGTAATGATTTTTTAATTGATGGATTAAAATATTTTGAAGGAATCGATTTTCTAATCTCAAGAATTGATGGTACTTTATCTTTTGTAAAAATTGCTGTTGTTTCTGTTGGTTGATTTTGAACTTTTAATAATGATACTTCATCAGTTATTATTTCTTCAGTTGATGAATCATTTATAACTGTTTGATTGGCAAAAGGTTCAAGTGGCGACATATTGAAAATAAAGAAATATTCTTTATAAGAATATTTTATTTTATTTTATTTTTAGGAAGAAAAGAGAGCGATAAAAAAAAGAGGATCAACTGTGTTATTTAAATCGAAAAAAAAAAAATTTTTTTTTTTTTTTTTTTTTTTTTCTAACCTGTAATGCTTTTTTTCGGCTGTGCTTGCATTTTCGTAGAAGTACGCATTTTATATACCTTTTCGAATCTTTTTAAAATAAAAAAATTAAACAATTCCTAAATTGAACGAATTAAAAAACTTTTAAAGAAACGTTATTGTAATACACATAAAAAATAATATGATAATCAAAAAGAGTATTTTTTATTTTGGCAGGTATCAAATGCATGCATAAATTACACTGAATTATGATGCATATAACAATGCCACATATTATAAGCAAGCATTCATTTATACAGCATAATATTAAAAATCAAAATATATAAATATTTAATATAATTATAAGAATTATAAGGAAAAAAAATCTTTTATTTTCCCAAATAATACAAATAATACTATTCCGCCTCTTTAAAATAATTTTTCAAGGAATTTAGATTTTTAAACAATTAAACCGGTTAAAACTAGTGAGAATAATAATTATTCTTATTGGATTGAAAATTAGGTACGTATATGCTAAATCATAAATACGCAATCACAAGTCGTAATTTAAACCACTTACAGCTTATAGATTGAATTTTAATTAATGCATGCATGCATATGTATACGTTATATAATTATATATAAAATTACTAAACTTACTTTAATAATCGGTTAACCTTTTTTAAATTTTATTCTTTTTTTCGTTTTTGATTAATGTTACTATCAAATTATCATTATTTAGTATTATTTATTTAATATTATTATAAAAATTTTTTTTTCTTCATTTATTTTTTTTTTAAAAAGTATTGTTCAAAAATATATATTGTTTTGAAATATAATTAATCTCCTGATTTGATTCGTTCACTATTTTTCATTGTCTAACTATTTTTTTTTTACAAATAAAGAAATAAATATTTTGCGTGATCATCAATTTTAAAGTTAATTTTCTCCTTGGAAAGAAAAAAAATTTTGTATTGTCGTCTTTTGGAATAATATTAATCAAATTTACGTATATGTAACCGATCATCGTATCCAATTATAAAAATGGATAAGAAAATATCTATATACATACAGTATTTGATTTTATTTTTTACTTACTTAAAAATTCTACTTCTAATATTTCTATCATATTCTTATAATATTATACTCTATGTATATGTAGTATTCAATTATAGAAATGGCCAAGAAAATATTTTTACATTTGATTTAATTTTTTCATATTCAAAATTTTGCAATAATTGCATTTGATTCTAAAAAATATACTTATTTTATTAGAAAAAGAGTGAGTACCGTGATACAGAAGTGTTAAACGCAGAAGTGATTATAAAAATTTCGATTTGTTTAAACTAAAATGTATACAGGGTGGTCGAGCCCACATAGAAGCTTCATCCTTCGTGAAAAAATATACTTAAAACATTTGCATCATGTGATTTAGAAATTTGTCCAATCAGAATTCTTTTTAAAAGCTGGAGACCTGAGCTTCTTAAAACCAAGTTCTCGGCCATTCGGCGTCAGGTGTAACGCAAAGTAACGTGAAAAGATTTTCAAGGCGTATTTTTTTTTCTCGGAGTTTGCGTTTTTAACCCAGTATAGTAAGATTACGATAACAATCTACGATTAGTATATAATTTGCATATGAAGACTGTTTACGTATATCTATGATTTGGAAAAAATTTTTACACTAGTTTTATCGATGCGGTGTGATGCATTTCCATATGTAAACCTGCCCGTATGATAAATAGTTGTAAATCTATTACCTGGTTAGTAAATAAATGAATGTTTGTATTATTTCATAAAATTTTAACGCATTAATTTTGATGAGATCAATCTGTAATGAAAAAGATGTTTCACTCGCAGATTCCTTTACAAGAAAAAAAAATTATCGCGGAAAAAAATGCCAACGGGCATCTGATATTTCACTATAATCTAATAGATTTAGTTATCAAGGTCCAACTAGCTTTAAAATGAATAGTTTCCCCAAAGTTTGAAGGTAAGATAAATATCGTGTAACAATCGTATTAAAAACAGTCTAAAATTATTTTCTAGAGTCTGATTAGAGCGTGCAGAATTTAGAAAATTCTTACGGTAAAAATTTTCTTTTTTATACTAATATACAAATACGGATCACTAAAAAAACTTTGTTCTATCACTTTAAGAATACTACACACCTTATTATATCGAAATCCTTAAAATTATCGTCTAGTGAGCAAATTTTACAAGCCACCTCGTCAGGTATGATGGTCATGAGGTCATGGTCGATCACAACAGATCATCATGCAAAATTAAATCCGATGTATTAAAAATTTTTTATAAATTTAATCCGAATTTTTGTAAAGCCTACGCACTGGCTGATTTATCTTGAAATATGTACACAAAATTAGGTAGTCTCAAGTTCGAAAAGAAGGTATATGCTATGTTAAGAATGCTAGCCAAGAATAAGTAGTTTCTGATAGCACAACATATAAAGAATGTTCACCTTAAATACTTCAGAGAAAGTTCTCGTCTACATTTCAGGAAAGACTAGAAGAAACTAAAAACAAGCTAGAATTCGTGATAGCAAAGGTACTATGTATATTTTGATTATAAATAAAATTTATGAAACTTATATTATAAATTCTCGCTTACTTTCAATAATCAGAATCATGAGTCAAAGAATTTTAAAAAAAAAATTTGAATAGCTCAACCAACCTATATATACACATAATGATATGATCTTCGTTTTTAATCAGATATTGAAAAATAGTAGTCAAAAGTTGTACTTCTAAAAATATGTATTTCTTTGAATATTCTTCATCTTTGGCGACGATTTTGTTGAGATTTGATTGTGGAACTTTAATATTTTAAGAAAACTTGTAGTTTTAATATGGTAAATAATATAATTTTTTGGATCTAGCAGTGGGATTTTGACGACTTTAAATAGAGCTTACAAGAAAATAAAAAGTTTAGAAATCTTTTGATTATTAGAATTTTAAAGTCTTTAATGATAAAAAATTAAAATGTAATAAATTATTATATCTGTTGACTAGCGAAACTGATCAATATTGAGAAAATTCCTCAATAATTATTTACTTTTTTTCGTCAACTTTGTCTGAAAAACTATTTAGTAAAAAAATAGCGGAAGTGTACACTTAGGGAGGTATACATTTATGGAGTGCTGGAATTCTGGATCCATTCATTGTTTAAGCTTCAAATACGATATTCGTTATTTTGGTTATCCTGCTGAGAATACTTCAAACTTATTTTTGCGAAAATTATAATTTTTATTATTATTGCTTCAGAGAATATCAGTGAATCGGAGTCACCGGAGTTGAAAATCGGTTCTTTCACAACTTTCGTTCCGAGTGCTTAATACTTTTGATTGTTACTAATCGTAGTTTTGTTTGACTTTTAATCCGTCTGAAATACAATAGATAATCTGACATCAATGGATTCAAAGAAAAATATTCTTGATAAATATGACTCTTTGAAACAATATCTAAAAGGAAGCTTTACAATGTATCGTCAATTTGAAAATTTTTAAGGTTCAAATATTGTAATTAAAAAAATATATCAACAGATTATTTGTAACACAACATTTTTTTATTAATAATTTTTTAACCGTTTTTTTTTAAGTGAACTCCTGCATAAATAGCAGATAACAGATTGAAATTAATAATCGCAAATTCTAATATCTAATTACAAAAATTTGGATTATTCTTCATCGAAAAACTAGAGCAAAATCACCTGTTAAATTATGAAAGGTTTCAACGACAATTCTAAAATTAAAAGAAAATCAGATCTAACTAAAAAGCATCTATTTTCTATGTGATTTTTTTTAGTTTAATAAACGGTTGCAGTTCTATCTAATCCAATCCCATTCCTTAATTTGGAATCCTTGAAAGAACTACCGCTTTGTTTTTATTTCCAAAAACGGATTAGTGATAAAATCTGATAAATTCGAGGATATCACGTTTATGTATTATTATATACTATGTTTTATATACACATATACTATGTTTTATATATATATATGATATAGATATTTGGTCATTTAAAACACATTACAATGTATATAAACTATAAAGTTAGAGTTTTTTTATAAAAAGTTAATAAAATTTGGTTTTTTTATGTTAATTCAAAAATAATCCTAATGATCACCTCTTTCATCTATTTCTAAAATTAGTAATATTAGAATGACGAATAGAAACAAATTAATATAAAATCTCTAATTTTTATCAGCCATCTTTGATATATTTTTCTTTTTTAAAGAAAAATATATCAAAGATGGCATTTTCCAACAACAATTTTGATAATTCAAATTCATCGCTTGTTGTTACGGCCCTTAAATCATTAACCGGTTTACCCATTATATCACAATCAGAGTATTGGAATCAAATACATAATGGAATTAATAATAACGCTATTTATCAAAACATAAATCCAGTATCTCTCCATAGTTCTTATTTAGCCGGCGGGGAAGTACAAAATAATAATGACGATTCTAATCCCCATTATTCTTTGCAAGGAAACGAAAATATCAATCAACATGATATTGATTATTCTGATTCTCAATTTGTTTCTGATACCTCTTTTTCTACTCAAGAATCTTCTCATTTTTGTTCTGCAAATAATACGCAGTGTTTTATTGTAAACCCGAATAATTTTATGATGTCTTCTTTACAGCAACAAATTACTCAACAAATTTTCCCCTTTCAACAGCATATTGTCCAGAAATTTCAAGTTTTTCAACTAGCTCAATCGCACTTTCCTCAACAAATTCAATCGCAATTGTCTCAAATTCAGGTGCAATTTCCTCAACAAATTCAATCGCAACAATCTCAATTTCTTCAACAAATTCAATTGCAACAATCGCAATTTTCTCAACAAATTCAATCACAGCATTCACAACAGTTACAAATTTCTCAACAAATTCAGCAAAATTCTAATCAAATTTCTCAAAAACCGA